GAAAAAAAGCCCTCCATATCTATAAGACTATAACCCACGTCACAAGAGCCAAATTAAGGGCTGAAATTATTTTTATGTGCACACAATTCGATCAACTTAATGAAAGTCAATAAAAGAATCCAACAAAGTTACTCCATTTAAGTTGAGTTTTAATTTATTTCATTCAATTCTCTAAACTAGTTCGATACTTGTGCGATGCACGGACTAATTAAGATAAGCATTTATATTTAGATGATTAGAAAAACGTAAAACCATGTATTGGATAAAACAAAATGTAACTTATATGTTATTAAACATAAAACGTAAAAATCATGTATTAGAATAAAACAAAATTTAACTTATATATTTCTATACAAAAAACAATGTAATACTCGAAGTCGTTTTTAACTAATTCTACCGATCGATCGCACCTTTTTCCCCTCTCTAGCGAAAATCCTATCCCTCACCCTCCCTCGTCGTTCTTCGATAAAATCAGCCGCGGAGTGCCTTCCCCGGCGGGTTGCCGGACCCTTAGCCAGTGGATGGCATGTAGCTGAGCGGCCTCGCTCCAATTGGGCTCCCCTCCTGGTTTTCTTGGCTTGGTCGGTGGATTCCCGACGCCCTTTAGTCGGCTTCGCCCCGGTTCTGTGGTCGACAGTGAGTTCGACGGCTCCTCTGTCATTTCGTGTCCGTTTCTCGGCTCCGACGGAGGATTCCCGGAGTTCTTCGGTTGGTCCTGTCTCGGTTGGGTGGTTGATGGCGGGTTTAAGGGGTCCTCTTCCGATTTGGGGCTAATTTCTGGATGGAGTGTGCGGTTGGAGCGCTGGGTGCGACCCCGACTGCTCGGCTCTTTTAGTCGCAGTGGCCGGGGGCTGAGGAGAACAGTTTCTCGCTCTCGGTCCCTATTTCTGCTGGTGTTGTGGCATTGGGATGTCGGCACGCTCGAATCTAGGCCAGTGGTGTTGGTTGGATCTCGGGTAGCTGGTGTGTGGGGGGACTTGTTGTTTCTCCTTCGGTTACAGGTCGACTTCATCCTCGGAGTGGTTTGAGGTTCGGGAATCATCATTTGCTAGGCATTAGGTGTTAGTATATGTGTCCTAGAGACAATCAATGTGGGACAAATGTACTTGATCACATTCATATTATATTTGATGATATTCGTGGTTTTGCATTGATTAATGAATTCTTTTGATTGTCTGTAACTTGTTAATTAAATGCTCCCTTGAGTTAATACTGTCATTAACAGAGTGAGATGTTAATCGATAGAGTATAACTCTTAAATTGCCTCAATCAATGATCATTAAGAAAGGGATATTAATGATACGTTATAGATTGACATGTGGTCTGCATCACATTCTTCGAGAATATAGTATGTCTCACTACTATGAATAATTGTTATTCGTGATGGACACATGGATACTTTAGAGAGTATTGGTATACCCTACCGATAAACCATTTGTTTATGTGTCTATGGGAGTAACGGTATGTAGAATGGTGTAATAGTCCTTTGACTTGAGGTCAATACGCAATTCATGTATAGAGTGATTTACTTAGACCTAGTCCAACGCTTACGCCCTTATGGGTAGACACGGGCTTGTGTTGGGTAGATCATGGTATACATGGAATTGGTAGTTGAGCCAAGATGGGATTCATTCATCGAATATAGTTTCGAAAGAACACTCGTTTTCTCTATACTAAGTTGATAAAGTCACTGGCCAGTGCATATGATTATATTTGAAATGGTGTTCAAATGTAATTGATAAAATCAACCAGTAGGATGAGATAAAATGATTAAGCTGTT